AAATAGTAGTAGTTTGAACAGTCTGCGTTAGAGGTTGCTAGCCTGGAATGGAAATTCAGTCATGGCACTAAGCATCCATACTTTTTAGCTGCTTCTCGCTGTCCATGCATAGTTACCTGGTGGTCATCCAAATGCCTACCGATGAGCACTATTGACAACAACACGACTAGCGCCGTCGTTATCGCCGTCAACGTCTTCGCGACACCCATGAGCTTGATTGGGATCAACAAGGACGACACGGACGAGAAATATTTCACACACGGGATTGAATATGTCGATACACACGGAGACTGGAGGGTGACAGGTGATGAAAAAGGCCTCGAGGCTGTCTGATATAGAAGGACTTCTTTCTGATGTCGAGTGCAAGGATATTCAGCTTTCCCATCGCAGTATTCGCACTACGAAATCCAAGATCTTGGCGTCATTTCTTTAAATATCTCTGCGCACCAGACAGATTCTGCGGCAAGGGCGAAGCCAGGAAAGGCCGGGCCGACTAAGACAGCGACGACACGGCAAGATCATTAAGGACCGAAGATGCTTTCAAGGTGGTGAGCACAGCAGAGAAGAGTGTGGTGTTGTGGCAATAGAAATTGACATTCCTTGATTCTTGCGCGCTGCGAGATGCACTCGAGGAGCATCCGCAATTATTTGAACCGTTGCGGGGTGACGGGGTTGAGGACTTCCCAGAGATGTCGCGATGACTCTTTACGCGAGATGTGTCACCAGCGAAAATCGCCTCTTGCGATGGTAGCGACTCCTCTATAGGGAAAATGTGATAACACATAGAAGTGGGACCGTGAATGCCTACGGTAGGAATTGTACCCAAGTCCATGAGGTAGTACCATGGGTTGAGGCAAATTATGTGGAAATTAAATGATGTTCAAATCAGGATGAGTTTATTATGCTCTGTGATACATTCTGTAACTTGCAATGGCCTTTTCTTGGAGGCACTAAGGCAGTGCCTATGTCAGTAGGGCTGCTAACCCTCCTCAGGCTGCTAAGCCCACAATCATTATTTGGACTCTCCATACGGTATCCCTAGCACCACCACACAGCACCGCACCAAACCGCACCACACACTGTATCACAGCTGCTGCCTTCCACCGTCCCTAACTTATACCTTTCCAAAGAACCCTTCCCGCCTCTTGGCGCTGCGGTACGCACAGCATCCAACGATGTACACAACGAGCAGCAGCAGCGACACGCCAAGGCACACAAACGCCACCATGCGCCACTGGTCGCGCAGCGTCTTGAGGAAGGCCGCCTTGCACGTCTCGCACCCGTAGCACAGCTTCGTGGGCTCGCTGCCGTACAACAGGCAGTCGCCGGTGACACTGCCGGTTGAAATCGTGGAGTTGACTGCGGACGCGAGCGCGGCGGCGGCGGCTGCAGCGGCATCAGAAGTGTTGGCCGGGAGGGCTGCGCGCGAGGTGGCGGAGAGGGGCGCCAAGGGGCAGGACTGGGGGGGATAGCAGCAACCGGCCTGGGGAAAGGTCGGGTTGCCAGGGTCGGGTGGAAGATGCATGGAACGTAAATAAAAGCGTGAAAGATGTCCTGTGGCTCTAGTTTCTGAGGGCAACAGCCTGATCGTTTTTTAATCAACGAAACTGACGGTAGTGAGCTGAATGTGAGCAGCATATGGTGGTACGTGAATGTGATCGGCCTGTGGCACCTGAATGGCAGAGAGCGAGGGGGATGCGGACGTGTTGGTCTGGCTGAGCACGCCGCACGTGTTGCCCGCCGCGAGGCACGCCTGGATGGGCGCCCACTTGGACTGCTCCGTGACTTGGTTCTGCAGCCACGAGGAGAAATCCGTCGTCTTCCACGACCCCACGCCCTTGTTCGACACCGCATCCGCCACCGCCTGATTTGTCACGATGAACGCGAACACTGCCGCGCGCGCACGCAGGAGTTGGGGGTGGGGGAGTGTGAGGGAGGTTAAGGGAGGGTGAGGAGAACGGTATGTGGCGCGGCTCTCGTCTATGAATTGGATTGGACTTGAGCGCAGCGGAGCTCGCGAGTTAGGCTTAAAAAAGGGCGAAGGTGGGACAGTAAAGTACACTTGACTTCGAGCTGTACAGTCGTACCTGTGAATCCGAGGAGCACCCAGATAGCGATGAAGACTACAGCGAGGTAAATGAAGAGCAGCCATGCGATGTCGTTGACGGCCCCGATGAACCCGGCGAGAGCCACGGCGCACAGCACGCTGCCGACGACGATCAGCGGGACTCGAAGGAACTGCACGCACTCCGTCGCGCCGGCCCTGTGACTCGACAGGATAAAGAGACGAAACAAAGGGTGGGTCTAGGATAGAAGGTCCTAGACTGAAAGAACTTCCGATATGTTACAGTCGTAAAACATCTGATTTTTATGCGTCCAAGAATTTTGTAAGCATCCTACTATCCATGGAAACTTACCGTGTGGTCATCCACACCCCTGTGCCGATGAGGACTATCGACAACAAAACGACTAGCGCCGTCGTTATCGCCGTCAGCGTCTTCGCGATAGCCATCGATCAGTAACGACCGAAATTGTTGGGGTAGTTAGAAACTGAAAGCTATTGCCGACTCAGAGAAATAACTCCACAATTGAAATCAAGTCCCTGGAACTGGAGAATATCCGATGCAGCAAGGAATGTCGAGTGCACGGGACTGAACCTTTCCAGCTCGATAATCGCACTACGGAATTGAGGCTTTGGGTGCAGTATTTATAGATATCCGGGACAGGGCGGGTTCCGCGGCATGAACGGAGCGAGGAAGTCGAACAATAGGCAGCGACGACACGGCAAGAAAGAATTCGAGGGAGGAAAGATACTTTGAAGGTGATGATGAGAGCAGCAGAGAGGTGGGATGGGCTCCTGCGACGTTGTGGCAAGATGAATTCAAGGCGCTGCCACTCCTCGATTTGTGCGCGCTGCGAGATGCACCCAAAAAGCGCTTGCAATTATTTGAGCTGTGCGGTTGTAACCAGGTAAAAGCCCCGAGGCCACATCCCACCAATGTCGCCTGTGCCTCGCGAAGAGTTTGCGAGGCGCGTCACGTGTGCGACAATGAAGTCGTCAGGTGCCAGGAAACGGACAATAATTGTGAAGCTGAATGAACTCTTTGCGGAGTGCACTGCATTCGGAATAGAGCTAGCTGATGGAATCGCCTCACAGCTTGCTCACCTTAGAAATGTGTAGATACAAATTTATGAATTTGACATGTGCCATGTGTGTTATTCCCAACCTCAACGTTCCCTCCCAGTCACTCGCACTCCCCTTTCAACCCACTCCTTCGTACCTCTCAGCCCATCCCCCCCACTCTCCACCCTATCTCCCCCCCCCCCCCCCCAGTCCCTTGCCCCCTCAGGAGCGAAAAGAGGCATGCCGATGTAGTTGACCTGACCACAAAAAAAACGCCCCTGTTGTTCACACCCAAGCACAGTAGCCTCGTCGACACAGCTGATGCGGACCCACTAATCATACATGTCTACGTCACCGCTGGTTTGTGCCTCCACATCCTCAACCTGTGCCGCCGGCGGCGGCGGTGCTATTGGCTGCGGGGAGGTCTGCGGCCTCTCCTGGGTACGTGCAGGTGGAGGCGTTTCCATGTACTCACCACCTTGCCCCACATTCCCACCTCCCTCCGACCCCCACGTCTCCCGTCGCGCATGCCCTTCTCCAGGCTCCGGTGTCCTCCCCCCTCCGCCTCTCCCCGCCCGCCCCCTTCCACGTCCCCTCCCTCGCCCTCTCCCTCCGCCTCCCCGCGGAGTCCTGGCCTCCGCGGGAGGCGGGTTACTGGCGCTCCACGTCTTGTTCCTCGACAGATCCGGTTCATCCATTCCGAAGTCGCTGTCACGCGGCGATGGCATGTCGCCGATCCTCCCATACCCCTGGTGCTGACTCACCGGGCGCTTCCCCTGCTGGGACATCGGGCGGCTGAACCCATCCCTGCCACTCTGGTAAGTGTTCGCCCGCTGAAAATCCGGCTCCCCACCGTAGCTCTGTAGGTGTTGACTCGATTGAGGTCCGGCGTGCCCTGGCTCTGATACGTGTTGACTCGGTTGAACTGAGGCCCGCCCTGGCTCTGGTACGTGTTCACTCGGTTGAGGTTTGGCCCTCCCTGAAAGCTGGCGGTGCGGCTCATGCTCACACCCCGGTCGTCCAGCAGCCTCCTCTTGTCGTCGCCACGCCCCCCCCTGCCCAACTGAGTGCAGCACATGACCATGGCCACCAGCAGCATCGCGCTCGCCACCCCCACACCAAAGTACGCCTCTACAAGCAGATCCGATTTGAGCTGCTGTAGCACGCCGCCCTTGCAGTACTCGCAGCTGTAGCACAGCTGGTTTGACTCGAGGCTGAATGCGCTGCAGTTGCGCGGGTCGCGCGGGGGAGCGGCGGAGGCGGGGGGATTGTTGGTGATGGGTGGGGCGTTGTCGGTGGGGAGGTCAAAGGCGAAGGAGAAGAAGGTGGGCAGCGAGGAGTTCACAAAGCAGTTCTCAGGAGGCATGCAGCACCCCGCCTGCCCTCGCCACGGGGAGCGGAATAGGGTATGGGGAACGGGGATGGGGGAACGGGGAACGGGGAACGGGGAGTGGGGAACGGGGAACGGGGGGGAAATGGGAATGGGGAATGGGGAATGGGGAATGGGGAGCGGGGAACGGGGAATGGGGAATCGGGAACGGGAAATGGGAAATGGGAAACGGGGAATGGGGAATGGGGAATGGGGACCGGGGAATGGGGACCAGGGAATGGGGAATGGGCAAAGAAGCACGACGTATGCGGTATGGGGCCAGAGGGGATGGGATAATGAGGGAAACAGCAGGTGCATGCATGTATGCATCGTGCATGCATGCAGCTCATGGGAGTGCGTTCGTAGTGCATGCAATGAGTCCATGGAACAAGCAGCCCCTTTCGTTCTCATCTCTCCCCCATTCCCCTCATCCCACCCCTTTCCTTTCCCCCACATCCCCTCCGCACTCCCCCTCGCACGCGCACCTCGAGAGGAAGAGCTGCTTGCCCTGCAGTTGCGCGGCCGTGTAGACGCGTCGCGCAGGTCGCTGCACGTGTGGACGTCCGTACCCATCCTCCCCTTCCCCTTTCTCCTCTTCCGCCCCACACTCACCTCGAGCGGGGAGAGCTGCTTCCCCTGCAGGTACGCGGGCGTGTAGTCTCGGAGGTCGCCGCACGTGTGGATGTTCTTGAGGCACGTCTGCAGCGTGCCCCACGTGGCGTCGTTCCACACCTGCTGCTGCATCCACGACGAGAATGTCGTCGGCGCGTACACCGTCTGCCCGCGGCTCTTCTCCGCTGCGCCGCCCGTCGTCACCACGAACGCGAAGACTGCGCGGGGGAGGAGGAGGGGGGGGAGGGGGGGGGGGGGGGGGGGGAAAGGGGGACGAGGGAAGAGGTGGGGAAGCGGGGGTGGGGAAAGGGAAGGGAGGGTACGGGAGACTTAGCATAAAATGGATTACGAATGGCTCTAGAGGCGGGTTGTAGAGAGGGTAAACGTGTTATTATTATTATTATTATTATTATTATTATTATTATCTCTTTTCTTTTTCTCCGCTGGCAATCTCGATTTTGTCAATCCGACCCATTTTTTGCCATATTCGTAATAGCTGAATTTGTACCCTCACTTTGGCGCCCACTTTTGTAGGCCGACTGACTTTACCTGAAGGAGGCGTGATTAAGTGCTCATTGATGGTCAAACGGCGGTGTAAAACACTTGGCGCGCGCTGGTTTAGGTTTTAAAGGCGGCGCAAATGTAAGCATACCAATGTGCGCATTGGTGTCGGCTCACTAATGGTTGTAGAATGCGGCGTAAAGTGCGTACTGCTGTATTCCTACAATGGTTCTAAAGGCGGCGCGAGAATTAAGTGCAAACAGCAAGCGCGTACTGGTGTAGCCGATGAGCGCGAGGAGGCCCCCGACGGCGAGCAGAAGGTGCAGGCAGCCGAGCCCGCCGTGGTCGCACGCGAGCCCCACCAGCCCCACCACCGCCGCCAGCAGCAGCACCGATGCTATCACCACCAGCGGCACCTGGTAGCCTATCAGACAGCCGCTCGCTGGCGTGCTGCGCGGATGCGCGGCGCGCGCGGATGAGGGAGGGAGGAAGGGAGGCCGGGGGGGGGGAAGGATTAAAAGCAGCACCGCCAGCGGCACCTGATGCGCGTGTGTTGCAATTGAAAATTCTTTGACAGACAATCATGGGGTAAAGCGTGCGGATAGGGGTGAGGTAGAGAGGGAAAGATGGAGGGGTGAGGGCGGATGAAGGGGACAAGGCGGATCACAAACAGCGCCGCGGGGATGAGCGGCGACAGCGCTCGGCAGGCGCGAAGGCGGCGGTGAGTTCTTTTAAGAATTGAGTTGAACCGAGAGTCACGCGGCGCTGGGACGGCGCCGATGGTGACATTCATCGGTGCGCATCGACACGCGGAAGTAGACGGAAATCATTGCACTGTAGCATGGCGCGCAACTATGCGTAGCATGGCAGTCCGAACTTTGCACAGTGCACGAATCGCGGAGCGGTATATCGGACGAGCTTAGTAATAAGTATAGAGAGCGGCGCCACTCCGCAAGCGGCAGGAAGTAGAGTCGTCGCCATTGGGACGGCGCATCAAGCGACGCGACGCGAGATCGGACTAGCACTGATTAACATTACTAGTAGCTGACCTGAGCATGGCCCACAGGCACGTGCCGAGGAGCACAAGCGACATCAGCAGCATCGACACATGCGACACCGCCGACATTGACCTGTCATTCGCCATCGTCGCCAACTTCTGTCGCAGCGCTCGCAATGCAGCTCTAAAAGGAGCGACGCCCGGTACGACGAGCGCCGCGCGTGAGGAGATCACCCGAGCGCCGCGGGAGCGCTACAATAACTGAAACTCGCGATCGCCCGTGCGCTTATTTAACGCAAGTCCCTCGCACCCGCGCGACCCCACTGTAAAGCCGCTGCCGCTCAAGCCATCGAGGTCTTGTGCTAGACTAGAATCCCCTCCCACTCCAGCTTTCAGCACCACCACCCATCGCGCACGACTCACACCATATGAGCATTCCGATTTTCTAGCGTGGCGAGCAAAGCGACTGGGGGAGGGATGAGGCTGGAGGAGAGGGAGTGATGGGGGGCTTGAGTGAGGCAGCTGTGCTGCAGCAAGCGATTTGAGTTGCTTGCGACTCTCGCCAAGACCATGCGGGCGTCGCAAATGACCCAATCCATTTATTCGCGAATCGCGAGTGGTTTGGACGAATGTCGCGAATGAGAGGCTGATTTTCTACGCGCTATTCGGCGGCAAGTGACGACGATCTCTGTATGTGTACAGCGGGTCCAGACCAGATGCGGTCCAGAGGGAAACGGACAAACGTCCGCAGTCAGATCAAATCTGAGGGACCGTGTTTTGCAAAGCTTGGGCATTTACTCCAATAGCTACACTTACATCATTCGAAAGATACTGTGCTATACATATATGGGGGTAAAGAAGAATAAACATTAAACAGGCAATGAGTCGCCACTATAGTAAAATCAGAACATATAACGCGTTTCCAAGAAAATGGATATGACAATCTGTATAAATTAATAATACATATCATCGTAATCTTCTTGATACTGGCCGTCATCCTCGTATACTTCTTGATTCCTCGGCTTCTGCTTCCTCTTTGGAGTGCTCACACCTACCTCCACCCTCACTTGCTCCCGCCCTTGCTCCGGGTCTTCATCATCACCCCACGTCATGCTTCTCTGGTGTTGCGACCTCTCACGACTCGTAGAACCCCCTCGCGCCGCTCTTCCCCCTCGTCTCCCTCCACGTGGCGTCCGCGCATCACCTCCATCAGGAGGCGTGCGTTTCGGATTCTGACTCGACCCCCACGTGGTGTTACGAACCAACCTGTCCTCGTCTTCCTCCCCTCCCACTGACCTATTGCTCTGCCGTGCCCGACTCCTCTGTCTCGACTCCCAATGCTCATCATACTCCTCCCTCTCCTCCTCATACACTCTCCCCCCCCACATTGCTCCGCTGCCGGTTGTACGTCCGCCTGTCACCCCCCTCATCCTCATACCTGTCCTCCACATCCTGAACCTCCCATTCCTCCTCTCTTCCTCCCCCTGCGTACCCCACATTCCCATTCCCATTCCCGTTCCCACCAGCCATGCTCATCTGTCGCTTGTACTCAGCGCTCGCCATGCTCTGGAACGTCAAGCTCCGCTGGAAGCTCGCACTCCCCGGCCCATTCTGCGGCCCTTTCTCTCCCCCTTTACGGCTCAGCGAACGCTCAAACCGCGCCCCATCCCCTCCCCCCCCAGCAGCACTGGCCATGGTATTGGTCCGCTTGTAGCTCACCCCCCTGCTCCCCCTACTCCTGTATTCACCCGGGACAGAGTGCGTTCGAGAGACGGCTCCACCATCACAAACGTGGGTGCTCTCGCCAGTGCGATGCCATCAGACTCACTCAGCCCCTCAGGCTCTGCACCATTGCATGCAGCGCAGCACATGGCCAGCCCCAGCAGCAGCAGCATCCCCGCTGCTGCCGTGCTCACATACGCCTGCACCTTGAGGTTGCTCTGGAGGAGGGCTAGCAGCCCCCCCTGGCAGAGCGAGCAGCTGTAGCAGAGGATTGATGGGTCGATGCTGAACGCGTTGCAGGCGGAGGGGGAGGTTGGGTTGGTGGGCGTGGTGACAGTGGGGGTGGTGGGGACGGCGAAGGCAAAAGAGTAGATGGTGTTCTGAGGGAGGTTGACTGGGCAGCCCTCGGGAGGCAGGCAGCAACCAGCCTGGCGGGTAGGGGTTGGGAGAGGGGAGGAGAGAGAGGTGGTGGGGAGAAGGGCGGAGGAGAGGAAGGTGTTTGGTTCCCTGATGCAAGGGAGAAAGGACACACGGAGAGTGTGGTGCGGTGTGGTGTGGTGTGGTGTGGTGTGGTGTGGTGTGGTGTGGTGTGGTGTGGATGGGGGTTTCTCATTCTGGTTCAATCCTCATCCCTTGAAAGCACATGACACTGAAGGTGCCATACCATACCTCTAGAGGCGAGATCTGCTTCCCTTGCAGCTTGTCACGCGTGTACATGCGGAGGTCAGAGCAGACGTGTACGGTGTTAGCGAGGCATGCTTGTAACGAGGACCAGGAGCCCAGCTGCTGCTGCATCCACGCGGAGAAGCCTGCTGGCTCGTACACTGTCTGGCCGCGGCTGCTGCTTGCTGCTCCCCCTGCCGTCACCACAAACGCAAAGACTGGGGCGAGAAGGGAGCGGGGATGGGGAGGGAGGGGTAGGGTGGGGAGATTTGAGACGCTTTACAACTTGGCTCGTGCACCGCCTGGCCGACGCGACGGCTTTCGTTGAGGCACTCGTTTTCCAACAATTAAAAACAAAAGAGCCTAGGAAGTGGGCAGGCGCGCATCCTAAGTCGAGCAGGCGGAAGAGAGGTACTGAGCGGGATGGAGGGTTTGAAGAGGAGGAGGGTGGGGGGTTAAAGTGGGAGGCGGGTGGGGGGTAAAGTGGGAGGCGGGTGGGGGGTAAAGTGGGAGGCGTGTGGGGAGTGGGAGAGAGGAAGAAGGGGTGGAGCGGGGAGAGGGAGCGAAGCTGGGCGAAGGCAGAGGCGAGGTGGGCGAAGAGAGAGGCGACGTTACTGGAGAAGGCGAGGAGGGCGAGGAGAGCGAGGATGGCGAGGAAGACGTGCAGGCACTTGAGCCCGCCGTGGCCGCACGCCACGCCCTGCAGCCCCACCAGTGCTGCCAGCAGCAGCAGCCCTCCTCCCACCAGCATGGGCGCCTGATAGATCGTTAGACACAGGCTCGCTGGTGTGCTGGGGATGGGGAGATAGGGGGAAGATTGGGGGAGATGGGGGGTGGGTGGGGGGATGGGGAGGGAGTGGTGGAGACACTTGAGCCTGCCGCTATGGCCGCTCGCTAACCCCTGAAGCCCCGCCACTGCCGCTAGCAGCAGCACCCCTCCCCCTACCAGCATGGGCGTCTGGTAGATCATTAGACAGACACAGGCTCGCTGGCGTGCTGCGGAAGGGGGGATTGCGGGGGGATGGCAGGGGAATGGTGGAGAACGGGGAGAAGACAATGGGTGGGAGTGAGACGAGAGAAGGTTGATGGAGAATTCTTTGCCCTGACCATTCCCTTGGCCCTTTCCCTTCTCCCCCCCACTCCCCTCATCACCCCACCTCCGCATCACCCCACCTCCGCATCACCCCCACCTGAGCACTGGTGGGCACTCCCATCCCGCATAAGCCTGAAAATCACCTTCAAAATCATCTCCCCACCTCATCACCCTCCTGCCTCCTCATCACCTCACCGCACCGCACCTCATCACCTCACCGCACCTCATCATGGCCCACAGCGCACCTCATTGCACCCATCACCACCGCACCGCACCTCATCATGGCCCATAGCGCGGCGGCAATGACGCCGAGAGCGAGGGCGAACTCGCAAGCGTGGAACGCGGCGCTCAGCGTCGCGCTCTCCTTCTTCCGCCTCCCCATCGCGCCTTTCCGCGCCTCTTCGCGCCAATCCGCGCTCTTTCCCGCTTCTACGCGCCGTCGCCCAACTCGCGCGCCGTCCTCGCTTGGCGCGGCGCTACTGCACGCGCGAGTCGCTGGTGCGTTTCAGGGCTGCGGCTCGCGCTGGGCCTAACGCAAGAGAATTGCTTAAACTCACAAATTCCACTACTTATTTCTTAAAACCCCGAGAGATAGCCCAACGTATACGACTGACTTCACGCCGAATGTCTCTCCACACATTGTATTAAGTGTTTAAGCTACTCTTTGCGTAGACATATGTTTATGAACATAGTGCAGGGTCTGCCGAGCGCGCGTCTCGCGAGAATTACGAGCAACGAGGAAAGAAGGGACGAGAAAAGCGCATAATGCGGAAGGATCAAGGAAGAAAGGTGTTGTTCGTGGAAGGCACAGCAGGGAGAGTCGCGTAAGGAGGTTACGGCAGGGAGGGCACAGGAAGGAAGGAGGCGATGTAACGCCACCTTACCGTGATTTACCGTATAAAAATAAACCGAAAACTCTTTCCACCTCTGTAGTTTCTGTCAACCTTCAACCCAACTCCCCCACCCACCAGAAATCTCAGTTTCGCGCCGTGAACTGTTCAACCGCACAGTTCTGAATGACCTACAGTACAGTACAGCCACTGCTGGGCGAGCCTGAGGCTGTACAGTGCGAGTGACCGAACACGACAACAGGATTGCCAAGGAAAGGGCTGCCTGTTGCGTGAATACCAGCAACAACCGGCAACTCAATTTGACTTTAGCTGAAGTGTAGACACACATATCTATTGATTACATCATGGTACAGGCTATACTCTATCATGGTATGACCCCTCATCATAGTCATCACCTTCATATATATCCGATTCAGCATCCAAGGATCGCTGTGGCTGCGGGTGCCCATCACCATATAGGTTACCATCTTCATACCCACTCTCATCATCATACATATCCTCCAAGTCATAAACCTTGGGTGGTTCATGTGGTCGCTCATCTCTTCTCGAAGCATATCTCCCAGACCGCCCCCCCTCACCCCCTACATGAAAAGGCTCCGAGCTTTTTTCCCCAGTCGACCGACTGCTTCTCTTGGAACGCCCAATCTCCGACTTGCCTCGGCGTGGTGAGCCGCATCGTTCTTGGTTCAACCGCGTTGATTGTTTATAACCTGACCCACTCTTGCTGCTGTAGCTCCTGCCGTGCATCATGCCTGCTTCCCTGACTCTGTTCCTCTCCCTTTCCCTTTCCCTCTCCCTCTCCATATCCCTCTCCCTCGCCCGTTCCCTCTCCATCTCCTCCTCGAAGGCCCTCTCCTCCATCCGACTGTAGTACATATCTTCATCCTCCTCGCACATTGTAACGTCATGGAGACTGCGACTCTTAGACATTCCATACCCCACTTCTCGCTCCTCTATATCAACCACGAACACCTCCTCGCCTCTCCCCGAGCTTTTGGAGGCTCGGTAACTCTTCGAGCTTCGGGAACTTTTCGAGCTTTGGAAACTCTGTGTGCTTCGGGAACTACGCGAGCTTCGGGAGCTTCGGGAAGTCGGTGGATCATCTGCATAGATGTGGGAACTTGGAAAGTCTTCGATGGAGCTACCTCGGCTGCGCATGTCCTCCCGCATCCTCGTTTCACCCCCATAACTCGCACGTCTACCCCCTCTCTCTCAACCTCTGTGAGAGACCGATCCAACGCCCCTGGTGACTTATCCACATGCGTTAGTGATCGCTCAAATTGCGTCACTGCCGCTGCTGCTCCCACGCCTCCATTCACCCCCACCCCAACCCCTTGGTCACCCACCCTAGTCGACAGAACCCGTTCAAACTGCCCCGGGGCCACGGTAAAGGTGTTTACCCGGCTCATAGTCCCATTCTTCTGCAGCTTACCACTCGCAACAGCAGCGGCGGGCAGCGGCAGCAGCAGCGGCGGCGGCGATATCAGCAGGGTCTTTGGAGTCGGGGTCATCGTCGAGGCCTGTGAAGGCGGCGCAGCACGCCATGAGGTACAGCACGAGGAGGGCCACAGACGCGCCTAGCGCGACGAACTTGAGCAGCGAGTATTGCGCGTGCAGCAGGTGCAGGAAGCCGCCCTTGCAGTACTCGCACGTGTAGCACAGCGTCTCCGGCTCCATGCTGAACGCGCTGCAGTTCTGCTGGCTCCTGCTGCTGCTGCTGCTGGTTTGTGGGAGGTTTGAGCCTCCTGGCGCGCCGGGGGTTTGGGCAGGTGCGGGGGATTGCGGAGCGGTGGAAGCGACGCTTGCAAAGGAGTAGTACGTGGGCCTGTAGGTTCGGTTGGGACAGCCTTGCGGGGGAAGGCAGCAGCCGGCCTGTTATGGGAAAAGACAAGAGCGCACAACAAAAACGCGGTGGAGGAATAGGGGCGAAATGTGCGATGGAATTTCCACATTGCGTCACGGAGGTTTTTTTTAGGAATATTTTTGAGAAATTTCAAAAATGCCTCGCAACGTTAAGTATTCCGCCGCTTCACACTCGCTCGCTGGAAAAGCGTTATGGGAGTGTTACCTCGATGGGCGGGAGTTGCGTTCCGTTGAGCGTAGCGGGGGCGTATAGACGAAGGTCCGCGCACGTGCGGCGGCGCGCGAGGCACGTCTGCATTGCGGGCCACGTGGCGTTGCCCACCTGCGCCTGCATCCACGGCGTGAAGCCCCACGTGATGTACACCGTCTGGTTGCGACTCGTTATAGGCGCCGGCGCGCCGCCCGTTACAAGAAAAGCGAAGACTGCGGGGAATGATGGTAGCGAGGTAATGATGGGCGAGGGAAGGGAAGAAAACGATTTACGGCGACCGTGGGAGAAGCATGAAAAAAATCACTTCACCAGATGGTAGTAAATCTTACAAGAGCGAATCGAGGACTCACTAGTGAAAGCCGTGGACGCGAGCACGGCGAGGAGCGCGACGACGAGGTAGAGGCACGAGAGCGCGTTCGAGTCGCACGCGAGTCCGCAGAAGCCGACGAGCGCCGCGAGTAGCAACGCGGCGCCGACGACGATGACGGGGAGCTGGTAGGGCAGCAAGCACGCGCCGTACGTGGCGTCGATGAGCATCCACAGCGCGACGCCCACGAGCCCCAGGCCGATGAGCGCCATCGCGCCGTTCACAAACGCGCCGAGCGCCTTGTTCGTCTTCATTGAGGAAGGAGTCGGATTTGGAGGCGTTTGATAATTAATATGGTACTAGGTGGGGAATGATGAAGAATCTGGGCATTCCAAGTCGAGATTTTTGCGAGCTGGGAGATCTGCCACAGAGCACGGCTCTGCGCCCAGCAGTTCTGAGTCGCTTTTGTGAAATTTCAAAAGCGGCTCTGTGTCCAGCAGACTGCTCCAAGTCACTCGGAGCGTAACGTGCAACGCTGTTGTGACTCAATGCTGCTCCAACGATTTTTGAGTCGACTGGAAAATCGTCTCAGCAACGTGCGGCGCTGTCGTGACTCAACGCTAAAGCCAATTATCCACGTGTTCAGGCCCTGCTAACCGCTACCAGTTGTGGATATGGTTCCTACGAAAAGGCTCTGAAGGTGCCTCGTACTAGGACAGCACTAGAAGTAAGAACACCAAGTGGTATATGTTGGACAATCGTCTCACTCGTGAATCGGGCACAGGGGATTGAATCCTTCAGAGAGTACGACCAAACATAAGTGTTGTTGCTCGACAGGACAGTGGACTAGGCCGGGTTTACAGTGGATGAGGCTGGGTTTGTCGCTCGCACCATACGCCCTAGTAGTGCTAGAACACAACCAAAGCGCGCGAGTTGGGTGTCTGGCTCAAGGGGAAGTTAGCTTATGGGAGGGAGAAAATAACGGAAGTAAGAGTCGGGTGGGAAGGTGGAACACCGCAAGTATCTGAGTAGGCTTGTACAGTGCTGAGGGAAGGGTGGGTGGGTGCAGGCAGGCAAGGGTGTGACTGGGAGTTCGGATGGAGAGTAACACATGCAGCAAATGAAGCACACAGAGCACAAGGCGGCGAGCGAGACGTGCAGCGCAGGATTTTGTTAGAGACTTGCAAAATGCTGGGAAGAATGATGTCAACTGTTGCGGGAGAGAGGGAGCAAGAGGGGCCGAAATTCGAAAGTGCGGCTCGTAATTCGCGACTCGCGAGTGGTGCTTGTGGTTGGCGTGTCATGCGATTCGTAAAGCTGGCAAACCTGCACTGAAGAGAAATATCAGATAATGCGTATGAAGCACACAAAACAGTGAACATTAGAGATTTTTACAAATTTCCTACCCTTTCTCCATCTATCGTGGATTCTAGCATTGGGTCTCCCTGCGACATTGCCTTGATGATGTGGGAGCCATGGTGGTGTGCCGACAATCCCCATGGATGCATAGCTGTGACACGGGGCGAGTAAAATTTAGCAGGCGTGTTCACATCCGTGCCAGTGAGGTATATAACGTCAGTTAGTGCATGATTGTCCCACTCTCTTGGATGTTCCAAGGCATGCAGCATCATCGGTATTGCCACCTGCAACAAAAGGGCAGTTGAATAAAAAAACAAGTTTCGGAAAATGAGAGAACCAAGGAGGAGAGGTTGAAGGCATGACAGCTCATAGGAGAAATTCTTGTGAGGGGCGATACCAGCACCTAGAGAATTCGACAGGCCACCAAACAGAGCGAATATTGAATGCAATTTGTCACTTACATCAGCCACAATGCGATGATCGGCAAAGATGGGAATGAGGGAGCGCATGGCAACTGCATGGCGCTGCGGGATATAAAAGATGTCCGATGCCGCCCGCAGGAATATGTTTGTCTTGGGGGAGATGGACTGCTGGTATTGATGCAGGTGCTGCGGGGGGAGGTGGGAGAGTGCCTGGAGGGGAAGGGCGTTGGGGTGTGGGAGGTATAGGTGGTGGATGGGAGGGGAGGAGGCAGAGGAAAGGAGAGGCAGAGGTGAAAGGGGGGAGGGGAGGGGAGGGATCAGGGGAAAGAGTGAATGTGTGAAGGGTAATCAAGAAACCTAGGGGAGATTTAAGGAGCTGCCAACATCTGGTATCTACAGTGGTGGTCTGATGCTGACTGCGCCGATGCATGCTGATGCTGATGCGCTGATGCTGATGCGCTGATGCTGATGCGCTGATGCTGATGCGCTGATGCTGATGCGCTGATGCTGATGCGCTGATGCTGATGCGCTGATGCTGATGCGCTGATGCTGATGCTGATGCTGATGCGCTGATGCTGATGCGCTGATGCTGATGCGCTGATGCTGATGCGCTGATGCTGATGCGCTGATGCTGATGCGCTGATGCTGATGCGCTGATGCTGATGCGCTGATGCTGATGCGCTGATGCTGATGCGCTGATGCTGATGCGCTGATGCTGATGCGCTGATGCTGATGCGCTGATGCTGATGCGCTGATGCTGATGCGCTGATGCTGATGCGCTGATGCTGATGCGCTGATGCTGATGCTGATGCTGATGCTGATGCTGATGCTGATGCTGATGCTGATGCGCTGATGCTGATGCGCTGATGCTGATGCGCTGATGCTGATGCGCTGATGCTGATGCGCTGATGCTGATGCGCTGATGCTGATGCGCTGATGCTGATGCGCTGATGCTGATGCTGATGCTGATGTGCTGATGCTGATGCGCTGATGCTGATGCGCTGATGCTGATGCGCTGATGCTGATGCGCTGATGCTGATGCTGATGCTGATGGTGATGCTGATGCTGATGCTGATGCAGATGCTGATGCTGATGCTGATGCGCTGATGCTGATGCTGATGCTGATGCGCTGATGCTGATGCGCTGATGCTGATGCTGATGCGCTGATGCTGATGCGCTGATGCTGATGCGCTGATGCTGATGCGCTGATGCTGATGCGCTGATGCTGATGCGCTGATGCTGATGCGCTGATGCTGATGCGCTGATGCTGATGCTGATGCTGATGCGCTGATGCTGATGCGCTGATGCTGATGCTGATGCGCTGATGCTGATGCGCTGATGCTGATGCGCTGATGCTGATGCGCTGATGCTGATGCGCTGATGCTGATGCGGTGATGTGATGCTGATGCGCTGATGCGCTGATGCTGATGCGCTGATGCTGATGCGCTGATGCTGATGCTGATGCTGATGCTGATGCTGCTGCTGCTGCTGCTGATGCTGCTGATGCTGATGCGCTGATGCTGATGCGCTGATGCTGATGCGCTGATGCTGATGCGCTGATGCTGATGCGCTGATGCTGATGCGCTGATGCTGATGCGCTGATGCTGATGCGCTGATGCTGATGCGCTGATGCTGATGCGCTGATGCTGATGCGCTGATGCTGATGCGCTGATGCTGATGCGCTGATGCTGATGCTGATGCTGATGCTGATGCTGATGCGCTGATGCTGATGCGCTGATGCTGATGCGCTGATGCTGATGCGCTGATGCTGATGCGCTGATGCTGATGCGCTGATGCTGATGCGCTGATGCTGATGCGCTGATGCTGATGCTGATGCTGATGCGCTGATGCTGATGCGCTGATGCTGATGCGCTGATGCTGATGCGCTGATGCTGATGCGCTGATGCTGATGCTGATGCTGATGCGCTGATGCTGATGCGCTGATGCTGATGCGCTGATGCTGATGCGCTGATGCTGATGCTGATGCGCTGATGCTGATGCGCTGATGCTGATGCTGATGCTGATGCTGATGCGCTGATGCTGATGCGCTGATGCTGATGCTGATGCTGATGCGCTGATGCTGATGCTGATGCTGACGCTGATGCTGATGCTGATGCTGATGCTGATGCGCTGATGCTGATGCGCTGATGCTGATGCGCTGATGCTGATGCGCTGATGCTGATGCTGATGCTGATGCGCTGATGCTGATGCGCTGATGCTGATGCGCTGATGCTGATGCGCTGATGCTGATGCGCTGATGCTGATGCGCTGATGCTGATGCTGATGCGCTGATGCTGATGCGCTGATGCTGATGCGCTGATGCTGATGCGCTGATGCTGATGCGCTGATGCTGATGCTGATGCGCTGATGCTGATGCGCTGATGCTGATGCTGATGCTGATGCTGATGCGCTGATGCTGATGCGCTGATGCTGATGCTGATGCTGATGCGCTGATGCTGATGCGCTGATGCTGATGCGCTGATGCTGATGCGCTGATGCTGATGCGCTGATGCTGATGCGCTGATGCTGATGCGCTGATGCTGATGCTGATGCGCTGATGCTGATGCGCTGATGCTGATGCTGATGCGCTGATGCTGATGCGCTGATGCTGATGCGCTGATGCTGATGCTGATGCTGATGCGCTGATGCTGATGCTGATGCTGACGCTGATGCTGATGCGCTGATGCTGATGCGCTGATGCTGATGCGCTGATGCTGATGCGCTGATGCTGATGCTGATGCTGATGCTGATGCTGATGCTGATGCGCTGATGCTGATGCGCTGATGCTGATGCGCTGATGCTGATGCGCTGATGCTGATGCGCTGATGCTGATGCGCTGATGCTGATGCGCTGATGCTGATGCGCTGATGCTGATGCGCTGATGCTGATGCGCTGATGCTGATGCGCTGATGCTGATGCGCTGATGCTGATGCGCTGATGCTGATGCGCTGATGCTGATGCGCTGATGCTGATGCGCTGATGCTGATGCGCTGATGCTGATGCTGATCCTGTTGCGCTGATGCTGATGCGCTGATGCTGATGCGCTGATGCTGATGCGCTGATGCTGATGCGCTGATGCTGATGCGCTGATGCTGATGCGCTGATGCTGATGCGCTGATGCTGATGCTGATGCGCTGATGCGCTGATGCTGATGATGTGATGCTGATGCTGATGCGCTGATGCTGATGCTGATGCTGATGCGCTGATGCTGATGCGCTGATGCTGATGCGCTGATGCTGATGCGCTGATGCTGATGCTGATGCTGATGCTGATGATGCTGATGCTGATGCGCTGATGCTGATGCGCTGATGCTGATGCGCTGATGCTGATGCGCTGATGCTGATGCGCTGATGCTGATGCGCTGATGCTGATGCGCTGATGCTGATGCGCTGATGCTGATGCGCTGATGCTGATCGTGATGCTGATGCTGATGCGCTGATGCTGATGCGCTGATGCTGATGCGCTGATGCTGATGCGCTGATGCTGATGCGCTGATGCTGATGCGCTGATGCTGATGCTGATGCGCTGATGCTGATGCGCTGATGCTGATGCTGATGCTGATGCTGATGCTGATGCGCTGATGCTGATGCGCTGATGCTGATGCTGATGCTGATGCTGATGCTGATGCGCTGATGCTGATGCGCTGATGCTGATGCGCTGATGCTGATGCGCTGATGCTGATGCGCTGATGCTGATGCGCTGATGCTGATGCGCTGATGCTGATGCTGATGTGCTGATGCTGATGCTGATGCTGATGATGCTGATGCGCGATGCTGATGCGCTGATGCTGATGCGCTGATGCTGATGCTGATGCTGATGCGCTGATGCTGATGCGCTGATGCTGATGCGCTGATGCTGATGCGCTGATGCTGATGCGCTGATGCTGATGCGCTGATGCTGATGCGCTGATGCTGATGCGCTGATGCTGATGCGCTGATGCTGATGCGCTGATGCTGATGCGCTGATGCTGATGCATGATGCTGATGCGCTGATGCGGATGCTGATGCTGATGATGATGCTGATGCGCTGATGCTGATGCGCTGATGCTGATGCGCTGATGCTGATGCGCTGATGCTGATGCGCTGATGCTGATGCGCTGATGCTGATGCGCTGATGCTGATGCGCTGATGCTGATGCGCTGATGCTGATGCGCTGATGCTGATGCGCTGATGCTGATGCGCTGATGCTGATGCGCTGATGCTGATGCGCTGATGCTGATGCTGATGCTGATGCTGATGCTGATGCGCTGATGCTGATGCGCTGATGCTGATGCGCTGATGCTGATGCGCTGATGCTGATGCTGATGCTGATGCGCTGATGCTGATGCGCTGATGCTGATGCGCTGATGCTGATGCGCTGATGCTGATGCGCTGATGCTGATGCTGATGCTGATGCGCTGATGCTGATGCGCTGATGCTGATGCGCTGATGCTGATGCGCTGATGCTGATGCTGATGCTGATGTGCTGATGCTGATGCGCTGATGCTGATGCGCTGATGCTGATGCGCTGATGCTGATGCTGATGCGCTGATGCTGATGCGCTGATGCTGATGCGCTGATGCTGATGCGCTGATGCTGATGCGCTGATGCTGATGCGCTGATGCTGATGCGCTGATGCTGATGCGCTGATGCTGATGCGCTGATGCTGATGCGCTGATGCTGATGCGCTGATGCTGATGCGCTGATGCTGATGCTGATGCTGATGCGCTGATGCTGATGCGCTGATGCTGATGCTGATGCGCTGATGCTGATGCGCTGATGCTGATGCGCTGATGCTGATGCGCTGATGCTGATGCGCTGATGCTGATGCGCTGATGCTGATGCGCTGATGCTGATGCGCTGATGCGCTGATGCTGATGCGCTGATGCTGATGCGCTGATGCTGATGCTGATGCTGATGCTGATGCTGCTGCTGCTGCTGCTGATGCTGCTGATGCTGATGCGCTGATGCTGATGCGCTGATGCTGATGCGCTGATGCTGATGCGCTGATGCTGATGCGCTGATGCTGATGCGCTGATGCTGATGCGTTGATGCCGATGCGCTGATGCTGATGCGCTGATGCTGATGCGCTGATGCTGATGCGCTGATGCTGATGCGCTGATGCTGATGCGCTGATGCTGATGCGCTGATGCTGATGCTGATGCTGATGCTGATGATGATGCGCTGATGCTGATGCGCTGATGCTGATGCGCTGATGCGCTGATGCTGATG